AACAGACCTTTCAGAGAAAATGTTAAAATTTCGGTAAAAAGTATCCGTCTATTTTAATAATTAACTAGATTATCATCCGCTTTAAATGTGTGGAACATAAACTAAATACATATCATATTAATAGGTGGGTTTCTCTTAGGTTGAATTTTAATAAAAAAAATTAATTATATTCATTTTTAGAGTTTTTGAATCAAACTTATTATATAAAAATATTTAATATTTATATTAGAGCAATTTGGTTTTTAATATAGTAATTTTTAACATAAATGATCTATGTGATAATATTTTATCACAACATAATGCGACTTCTTGATTAAAACATGTTGTGTAGTAGCTTTATGAAATTGATTTTGAACGGTGCACCAACCTACATGGAGGTTCATATGGCTCTTTTCATATGACCCTGTAAAACCAAAAGCAACAATAAGTTATTACATGTACCAGTAACATTAAATTTTGCAAAGAAATTCGAGAAACATTACAAATAAAGTAAATTGTCATAACCATAAACATCAAATTCAGATATTGTAATTTGGTTCATTTCAAAGTATTTTTTCCTTATAAAAATTAGAATATGATTTTTCAGGTTACACCCAATCACATGTACATATCTTTCGATCAAATAAATTATTACAAAAAAAAAACACGTTATGAACAAAAAATATAATATTAGTTTCATAATTTGCTAAAGGCTAACACTAATAAATAATAATGAACTTTCACATATCTTGCATTTTGGTCACAACATCCAACTAACAAATAAAATTCGGTTTGGAGGATTAATTCAAGAAGTACATCCATGACTTTTTATAACTGAATTTTGGGAAATATTAAGACCTACTAAGATATGATGGAATGGTTTGTGAGGCTACAGTTGGTTTCTATAGGGCAATACAAATTCAAAATCGTTAACATATATCTTTCCTACCTGCTTCTATTATCAAATTTAAGTCAAACTAGTCAAAAAAAAAAAAAAAACAGATATGTAAAATAACAATCAAACAACATATTTTTCATTGAAATAAATATCATAAATCTACAATTTACACTTGATATATTATTCTTAAATTATATATTACATTTTCATCTTTAATTGTCACTAACACCTCTCTCTGCCTTATTGTTGTGACACACATCTATATCAAAAATAAGAGAAAGAACTATAGAGAATAATGTTGATAGAGTGATGCTTCATTGAAAACGCAGCAAAATTCTTCATAAAGCTGCTATGGCTCTTCTATAGACCGCTAGACGATCTACAAAGTGACAACCGTGGTGGCATCCATGAGAACGTACCACTTAAAATAACAATTTTAATTAATGTAAGTGAAAAAATCATTTAGAATACTTACCAGTTGTGATTGTTTCCATTTGGATGTGAACATTAACATTCTTGTAGAGAAATAGAACTTCAAATGAACCCTACATAGCCATATCAAGAAACATGAAAACACAAAAAGAAGTCTAACTTGGCATATAACCAAATTTCCAACAAATTTCAAAATTTTAAGGTTTTGCTGAACAATTTTTTTAATTTATCAGAATTTAATTTTATTACAGCCTTATATGAGTAATCAAGAATCTAAATCAAGTGAAAGAAGTAATTGTTCATTTAAATCCAATAAAAAAAATTATAATATTGTGAAAAAGTAATATAATTTACATGTTTGCTTATTGTCTTGGAGGTACCCGACGACTTGGATAAGTACTATTATTTGATTAATTAGTGCATAAATTACATTATAGAATATGAAATTTAACGATTGTTCAAATTTATTTACACTTGATTTAACAATAAAAAATAGACAAATTTATAATCATAAAAGTATGCTTAATTCAACAAATTTGTTATCAAAATTAATAGAAAACTAAGTTTCTTGAAGAAACACATCAAATACACAAAAACGAATAAAAACAAAGAACATTTGAAGATCATGTCAGAAAGGTATGACCAATAAGATCTTTTTGGCACTTTTCACTATAAACATGATTAATATTTTCTCATCTTCACGATGATAAGTACCAAGTGAATAGAGAAAACAAATTTATAATCATAAAAATATGCTTAATTCAAAAAAATTGTTATCTAAGTTAATGGAAAATATATTTGTCGAAATAATCAATTATTAAGTACGTAGGATATTACCACTAAGGGATTTTGAGTTTTGCATCATCCTCAAGCTTCAATAAAAACATCAACTAATGCTCATCACTTTCAAGTAAAAGTCTCTGCAATTAAAACTTAATTATAATAAATCTAATCAATAACGTTATAGAAAAAGTTAAGGTTAAGAATAATTACATAAAGCTATTGAGTTAGATAGTTGGAAATCTAGTAATTGTAATTTAACATTTATGAGACCGATTATTATCTTCAAAATTGGAAGTGTTTACTATATTAATAAGAATTAAATACAAGGTGACTGTTTTGCCATTGATGACTTTTTGCATTCGGCGAACGGTAGAGATGAGAGACCGAGAGTGCACATAGTTCACCGAAGGCAGAGAGGAGAAAGTCCAGAGCGGCGATATTAGAGGTGTATAATCCAACGGTTTTTTCCAATTAATATAATTTTTTTTTTGGTTTTCGCTTTGGTTTCCTTAATCAAATTGTATCCTAATTTACTAGGATTGGTTTCAGTTTTTCAGCAATCTTTGGAGTTTTTGTTATTGCTTATTTATTTTCCTTTCTATTATCCTAATTTCTAATGAGATATTAATAAAAGATTGATTTTCTGTTTTTTTTTAAGTTAAATAGTAAATTAAGTAATTTTGTTGAATTGTATATATATATGATGATATCATAAATCTGGAGGGGCCAGAAAGTTATGCAGAAATAAAACTACATCTATATATATTTAGGTATGGTAAATACATCAAAAATCAGGGGGCCATGGCCCTCCCTAGCCCGAAGGTTCCACCCCTGCTTGTGTGTTTTTTCGCGTCACGATCAAATAACGTAAGTGATACCACGCCGATAAAGTCTTGTACTATAATGGTGATTTTGAAACTAAAACCATTGATATAAACAAATTCAATAATATGAACTTAGAAAATTTAATCGAAGATTATAATATTATGTATAAAAGATCTATTGAAAACCTTGGAACAATAGATACGTCTTTGTTCATTCAAGTTGAAGTGTAACAATAAAAAACTTCTTTATCCTACTTTTCGTCTGTTCCACTAGCTTTATCGTCATGCATTAAAACGAATTTTATGACTTTCTATTGACAAACATAGATCAACACATTAAAAATCAATGTAAATGGTATAATTTTATTTCTGTAACTAAATGAATGAAACTAATATGCTCAAAATAGATTAGTTAATTTTTTTCATGACCTCTCAACAAGAACACATTAATAACAAATAATAAAAAGATAGTAAAAGCAAGAAATTGAAGAAGAATAAGAAGAACAGAGTAAAATAAGAGCTTGGAAAAAGAATTGGAGAAGAAGATTGCTCAAGAAGAACACTATAAGTCATAGGACTTAATCTAAAATCGTAAGAATAACCACTTTAGTGTAATCGTGTGTGTGTGTGTGTATATATATATATATATATATATATATATATATATGATGTTTTTGAATAAGGAAATCATTATTTTCTAAAAAAAATTGGGATCCTAAGATATCATTTTGGAGATTTTCCACTATTCATCTGAAAAAAAAAAAGAAGATATCAGTTATATTAATTCAAAAGTTCAAATTAATTGACTTTCTTATTTATTTAGTTTTAAAATTCAAACAATTATCTCAAATTGATTCATTTTATGTGGGATATACTGAAAGATAAATTATGAATAATATTGACTTTAATTTTAACTCTTAAATATTTTGCTGATTTAATGGAATTAGATTAGATTTAGTTAATAACTTAATTATTGATATGCTTGTTTAATGGGTTTTATGAAAAATAAATAAATAAATAACAAAATATAAACGGGTTTAAATTTGAAAATAAAAGCTATAAATAAGAAAGTTAAATTATAAACAATATTAATTAGAGAAACTTATATCATGTATATAAATAGAATGATATGTTTCAATTGATAAAATAATTATTGAATTTAAAGATTCTATAATTATTAGATTTCTATAATTATAATTTAATATAATTATCTTTGAATTTTATTTGGGGAAGATGATATCAGCAATTTGATATAATGGTGGAAAACATAAAATTAAAACACAATCAAAAGTCCTAATTGTTTCATATTAAAGGTTCACTTTTAATAACATTTAAAGATAATATTTAGAGATAGTAACGAAATTCACAGTTGTTTCGGTAATTTATTAACAATCAAAAATCCTAATTGTTTCTTATTAAAGGTTCACTTTTAATAAGATTTAGAGATAATATTTAGAGATAAGTAACGAAATTCACAGTTCTTTCGGTAATTTATTAAGCTATGACATAATTTAATATTGGTTGAACACATACCTAATATAAAAATGTTTAATAACTAAAAATAATATTGACAATATCTGTTTTTAATGTATGAATCACTCGTTGCTCACAAGTAAAGCTAAAATTTTGCTTGTAAAGTTAAACAGTACAAATATTCTTCTGCCATGTTCACTAGCAGTAGATGGACACGCGTCATGTTGGCTTTGTCACATAAAGCATTATAATAAATGTTTAGGTAATAACAAACATTATAATAGTTCATGGTTACAAGGGCATTATGGTAATTTTAATTAGACCTTTTGTTGGGTTAAACTATGGCAATAATTATAAATAATGATTAAAATTTTAAAACTCAAAAGCTACTTTCCTGTAAACCAAGGAGAAGTCGACACCATTGTTGGTCAATTACATCCACTAAACCAAAGCCACTTAGGGGCACTTTAGTAAGTTTACATTCCCTAATAATATCGTTGAGTCATTAAGCTAGCCCACATACTCTACCGGGCTTTAAGATCCATTGGGCCCTGGTGAGCCCATTAGAAACAAAACGTTGTTACTCGTTACTACATACTTGCATCCATAATCTATTCTTCTTCTAATCCAGCCACATTCCTTAGTCCCCACCCAATTACATAAGCCGCAAAACCAGCAATTGCACCATTGAAAAGGGTTCCCACCACCGACAACGCGTAATTCTGACCGGCGATCTTCGCCTTCGCGATTCCGAGAGCCGCGAGTGCAAGGGCGGAGAGAACACATGCACCGATGAACTTGAGGGTGTCGTTTTGGGTAAATGGGATGAGAACGATGAATGCAATGATCGGAGCACTACCAAACAATAGAAAAGCTCCGAAAGTTACTAAGCCTGTCTTCCATGGCTTCTCCCCTTCCTCCGGTGATAATATTCCGTTCTGGACCATCTTTTCCTCCACCATTATGTCGCTATACTTTGCAAAGATTTCCACAACCTGGGCGAAAATGGTGGTTGTAAGCTGTAACTTGTAAGTAATTGTAAACGATGATGCGGTTGACTCATTTTTACAGTAAAATGTGTTAATTACCATTGCTGCATCTTCATGGTTCATCCCTAGAGCTCGATACCGATCAAGTAACGATTGTTCTTGAAGGCGGCGACGGTTAGTGACGTCCCATTCCGTCACGAGTTTCTCCTTCGCCGCCACGTCATGCTCTGTGTTACTCGAAACATAGTCTCCCATCCCCATTGATATCCCATCGGCCACCAAGTTAGCAAACCCCAAAACCAACACATCAACTGCAATAATCAAACACGATCGTTAAATGATCAATCTCTCAAAAACTTTAGCACGAGAGACTGGTTTTGAAAGTTCACCGGAAGATAAACGGCCGGCGGAGATGGAAGAAATGAGAGAAAACGAAGTGACGATAGCATCGAGTCCGGAGTACACTATGCTCTTCACAAGTTCGCCTTTCCATGGCTCTTTCGGCCTATCTCCGCAGCTGTTCTTCTCTGCTGCCTCCGTGTCTTGGAGCAAAGAGATGGTGGTTGTGGTGGCGCCATCGCTATTTCTGGACATTTTCGTTAGCTACCACCGTTTTTTAATGTGGGCTTTATAAAGAGTGTGTAGCTGATGTCGTGGCAGCTTGCATGCTTAATGGGTACTACACGTGTTTGTATCTGGTTAACTATTGACTTTTGCTGTTATATAAATTTTGATTAGTTAGTATACTTGGCAGCTTGCGATTTTTAAGTTATATAGGCAATGGTTGCACTTATTTAAATACATACCGGGAATTTAAATACATACCGGCAATGTAGCGCTACAATTAGGGTTTCATTAGGCCATCAAGCATCCCCAAATGAGTCAAACACAACAAGGTAAGCACGCTGCCATCTAATACGGCGGCCGATGGCGGCTACCACCCTATGGTGGTGGTTAGAGCTTTTCTTTTCATTATTCCTACTCTATTACATTATTACAATGCAAATTTCAATAACACCCACACACTAAGCTTCACACACAATAATAAATTTAAACACACACAGCCACCTAGTGGTGGTCGGTGGTTTAAGGGTACTTAATCTCCTAAGGTTTAAAGAGCTAATTACCTCTTTCACACGAACTAAGTGTTATACACCTCGCTTGAATGCACGATGTCTAACTATGGGATACGGATAAGGAGATCATTCACAATGCAGTGGCTTGGCAACCCTCTTATCCTTGAACATAAGTTAAGCTCCTTAAAGTTTATAACATTTTCATGTCTCCAAAATTTGGGATCCTACCCTAGTGATTACTTAAGGTTTATAACATTTTCATGTTATCCAAAATTTGGGATCCCACCCCATTGATTACATGTTATCCAAAAGTTGGGATTTTACCCCCGAAATAACATAAGGTTTATAACATCTTTATGTTACCACATGTTGGGATTTTTCTCTAGAAAATACACACAAATCGTAACATTTTCATAAGTAGGGAGATTTCCCATGAGATACGTCACAGGTTGGGATCCTCCCCAATACATAACATCAAACATGTTATCATTCGAACTTATGGTGTTACCCAAGATAACTATCAAATTTTATAACCTAAACAGGTTATACTGAGAAGTGAATTCCTCCGCGGGACCTGTAACATCCCGAAATATCAAGAGTAGAGCGGAAGGGCTAAAAGAGAAATTTGGGAAAGAGCGACTCGGCGAGTCCATGTGTGGACTCGGCGAGTAGAGTCGCGACTTGGTCGCGTGTTAAGTGGCCGACTCGACGAGTCAGTGTATTGGACTCGGCGAGTAGGCGCTGAGTGGAGAAAACCCTAATTCCCGGGGTTGAGCCTTATATAATGATCCTTATGTCTTCCTCCCAGCCTCTTTATCACCCCTTGAGCCCCAGAAAACCCTAAATCGCGGAGAAGCACCATTGTTGAGTGGATTGGAGCTTGGAGAAGTAATGGTTGAAGGAATTTTGGGAAGATTGAAGGCTTGGAGCAAGGGGCTTTGCTTGGATTCGAATTGCATTGCAGTTGGGGCATCACTTAGAGGTAATATCTCGTTTTGACCTGTTGATTATGTTGATCTTCATTTTGGAGTTTGTGAGAAATTGTCTATGGATGAAATGGGAAGTCTAGAGGTTAGATCTGAGGTTGCTACCTCAGATCTAGAAGGGAGAAGAATCAGAGAGCATGAAAGTCCCTGTGTTGGAGTGTTTAGTGAAGCTTGCATGTCCCAAACCCTAGCCCCAATGTGCAAACGGCTTAGATCTCTTTGGATTCACGTAAAGTTTGCCACTTTACGTGATGGATGAGTGGTAGGAGACTAGATCTATGTTTTGGAGCAATTGCATGGCCTGGAATGCTTCTGAATGGATTCAGGACGGTGGTACTCGGCGAGTCACATGGGTGTACTCGACGAGTTGGATGAAGATGGCCTGGAACTCGGCGAGTTGTATGAACAACTCGGCGAGTAGGTTGAAGATAGCCGTAGACTCGGCGAGTCTGTTCTTGGGCTCGACGAGTCTTGTCGAAGGGTCCCGATATTCTCTGGTTGGGTCGAGAATCGGTGAGTCGAGGGATGACTCGGTGAGTTGTGGGCGAGTGGACTCAGAGTTGTGGGACTCGGCGAGTCTCGGGGTGACTCGGCGAGTTGAGTTGCAATATGGGGAAGTTCTGATTATGGGAACTCGACGAGTCACAGGGTTGACTCGGCGAGTAGAGTCAGTCAAGGGTTGACCTAGACTGAGGACTTTGATTTCGACCAAGGGTTGGCCGTTGAGTTTTAGGGTTTGGACAGCGATGTGGCCTTTGGGCCAAGAGAGAGGTAAAATAGTCTTTTACCCATAAGAGGGTGTTATGAGAGGATGTATTCTAGCCTCGAGAGTTTTATTCATGAGAGTATTTGCCTTACGTGTTAGGCGGTGGCGAGTTCGAGATTCAAGTGTGGGGATATCTGCTTTCTGTTTGCCAGGTGAGTCTTCTCACTATACTTTACCTTGAGTAGGTAATCAGAGTTATGTGATCAGTGTATTTATATGCTATATGTACGTGATGTGTTGTACTGCATTATTTCTATGTGATTTATGCTGTGCATGTTACAGAGTTGGAACCGGAGGGTTCCCAGAGTTAGAACCTGAGGGTTCACAGAGTTTGGGTGCACGGACCCATAGAGTTATAGCCTCGAGTGGCTAATATGTGTTATGTGTGGTATTTTGGGGAACTCACTAAGCTTCGTGCTTACAGTGTTTTGTATGATGTTTTTCAGGTTTCTTTCAGTATCACGGGACGGCACCGGCTTGATTGTACACACCAGAGGAAAAGTCATATTTTGGAGGATCCTGGTTTTCTATGCAAGTGAAAAAGGAGTTTTGTCTTTTGTAATTCGCTTATAAATGAGATTTTAAACAAGTGTTTCTAAGAACTTACGATTATTTTAAATGAAAAATTGTTTTGAAATTTACGGTGTTACAAGTTGGTATCAGAGCCTTGGTTTGAGGGATTCGGATGCGCCTTCGGGTAAATCTGGACTCAAACTGAGGAAGTACGAAAAGTTTTTTTTAAAGAAATAATTTTCTAAAAGTGAATAAGAGTTCAAAGAGAAAGCAAGAAGGAGCAGTGTGTACAATCAGCCAGAGCCCGAACGGTGATTTCCCAAAATACCCTTATTTTGTGTTATGAGATATGTATGATGCACTTTATGAGATATTATTGCATGCTAGAGACAGGCTAGGTATTTCATATGTTAGGACTAGAGTGGCCTGATTTGTGATGCCTTAGCCTAGGACTTGTTGTTATGTGTGTTATGCTTTTGAGTATGTGATGAGTGAGAGTATCCAGTTAGAACCCAAGAGGGGTAGAGTTACAGAGTTCGGTGGTACTTTCGAGGATGAGCTGAGAAGGTGGAGTTATCACAGAGAGGGAGTCCTATGTATCCTTCGATGCTCGAATGCTGCTTGCTTTGTGCTTTGTGGAACTCTCGATGATGGGAGTCAGCTACCAAGTGAATATGACGATATTCAGGAGGTAGATGGCTGGCATCATTAGGAGCTCTTCAGCAGCTGATAGCAAAGAAGTGGGAGGACGACGGAAGAGCCTAGGGGATAACCCCATCCAGATGAGTGCGCTTGTAGAATAGAGAATTTCGTTGGGGAGCGAGCACGCGCGATGGGATTGGTGAAAGAGCAGGTCGAGCAGCTACTTAGAAGCTTTGGGATGGTTCGTGTGGAAAGTATGGGTAGATGTGGCAGGTAGTATGGGCCCGTACTACTGAAAGCAGAGGACCCATACTTGATACAGGGAGTATTCTGAAGGTTCTAAGGAGCGGATTGAGGAGTGATGTTATGGTTCGGGTACCATACATCAGAGCAGATTGAAGAGTGATGTTATGGTTGTGGTACCATACATCAGAGCGGATTGAGGAGTGATGTTATGGTTCGGGTACCATACATCAGAGCAGATTGAAGAGTGATGTTATGGTTCTGGTACCATACATCGGAGCGGATTGAGGAGTGATGTTGTGGTTCGGGTACCATACATCAGAGCAGATTGAAGAGTGATGTTATGGTTGTGGTACCATACATCAGAGCGGATTGAGGAGTGATGTTATGGTTCGGGTACCATACATCAGAGCAGATTGAAGAGTGATGTTATGGTTCTGGTACCATACATCGGAACGGATTGAGGAGTGATGTTATGGTTCGGGTACCATACATCGGAGTGGGTTGAGGAGTGATGTTATGGTTGGGTACCATACATCGGAGCGGATTGAGGAGTGATGTTATGGTTAGGGTACCATACACCAGGGCGTATTGAGAAGGAATGTCATGGAATGTGTACCATGGTTCGGAGTGAATGATGTTTGTGGTTCTCCGGTTATTCGGTCACGAGTAAGTTCGAAGAGGCGTCCCTTGAGAGGGAGATCGAGAGTCCCTCAGAGTATTCTAGTAAGGAGTCAGTGGAAGGGAGAATTTCGATCTGAGTTGAGTGATCAGTCGATTAAAGAGATGTCACCTCCTATGATCGGGGAGGTACTAATTATGTAAGTGTGAGAATATGAGAAGCATGATGTTTTGGTTTTGGGTTTAGGGGTAAACCCTGCAGGTCGTCATTGATGATGATTTCCCCCCCAGAGTATCAGGTAACATGTGTACCGCGAGGCAGTGATTTATCATTAGCAGATAGTCAGTTGGGACTAAGATAGTCGAGGGCCACGCTATACCTAATTGAGTATAGTCGGGTGTATGGTAGAAGTAGCAGTGGGGAGTTCAGTCGAGTTTAGTGGTGCAGAGAGTTTTCTATCCATGGGGTGTTGAATATGGGAGTGGGTCCTTGTTCGTGGGGTGATCCCGGTGTTGGAGCGTTGGTTGATGAGTTGAGGTGAGGGGTACGGTAATTTTATGGTTCAGTCTATGAGCCAGGGATGTTATTGAGCAGTTGATTTGTTGGTACTAGACTGGTAAGATATTTGGAACGACTAGAGGCAGACGTGACGAGAAGTTCTTGAGGAGTTCATCAGAGGTTCAGAGTATATGAAGTCAATTCATTTCCGTAAGGGGGAATATCGGGCGTTGTGTAGCACTTTCCGG